TATATATATACACATATATATGTAATTCGATGTCGATCGACGAAGAAGTCGGCGACCGAAGAGACAGACGGAGCGAATCGCGCTGGCAGTCAGCGAGCCGATACGATCCGTCGTCGTCTCTGCTCGTCTCTCTGTTGGATCCCCTCTATCCGTCGGGAATTCGCCGGGGAGTCCCCGCGGCAGTGGTCCCGAGTGCATTCCGGGAGGGGAAAATATTCCGAGGCGAAAGAAATTCGTCGGTCGGTCGGCCGGCGAGAAATTCTTTGCGGGACGGGATCGTTTCGTGTCTGCATCGAATATCCGATTGATTTCAGTGACAGCGATTGTCCTTCAGCGACTTCCGTTCGCATAGCCGAGGGAGAAAAGCAGTCGATTCATCGAATATTTCATGGAATGCCAATCATGCGGAGAATTCCGTTCGTGTCGACAAACACGTGGAAGATCTTCGAGGCGGCGTCGTTGCAATAAATACACGAGTGAGAGCAAGGGAGAAAAATCCAGAGAAGGGAACCGCAGTGAATATAACTACTTCAAGGGCTCGGTTCTATAAAAATCCAGCTGCATCGAGAAGCACGAGGAGAATCCTTCTAAGGGACAGCCGTGCGATAAAAAAAAAAAAAAGGGAAAAAAAATACACTCTCAAAGAAGAGCGAAGAAACGAAGGAGGGAATGCAGTGAACGTTCTTTGAAGTATTTGGTCCTGCATCCAAGGAGATTCGAGAATCAACCATTGTTTAAATTATTTCCAACCTTCTTGAGAGAGTTAATTTTCTTTTCGTAAACAAGTAGAGCAATTAAAGGATATTTAACCGTGGAGGATCCGACGATTGTTTAATTGAATTTATCTGAAAAATTGCTGCAAATCGAATCGCGTTGAGCAGTCTACAAAATCCTTGAAAATCCTGCGTTTTGAAGACTCCAAAATCATTCGATTTACTTTGAGGAGAGGAGCTTACTCGAATGTATCTCAGAAAATTGTGTAGACCCACAACTTTTTACCGAGAAACGTATCTTGAGAAAGACATATCTTGAACCCTTCGTTTGATCGAGGAAGAAGATTGCACCGGATATTCGATGCGTTACGTAACACATCCACAACAAACAGCCGCAGAAACAAAGGAGCCGCGAGGAAACGAGCTTCGGGCTTCGATTGATCACTCTCCTGTCGTTCGTCGACGTGAGAAAGATCTTTCCGTTGCAGCGTCTTTCGGAGGAGAGGGCGAAGAGCGAAACGAGCGGCGGAAAGCGAAACGATCTGACACGGCAAGACACCAAGGCAACACAACACTGACGACGACGAAGTCGAAGACGACAACACGCCGCGAAGGTCGAACCCACGTGACACGACGTTTAGCCGGCGCTACCAAATATTGTGCCTGCGCGATACAATTCGTGACGTTCGGAAGACGTCAGACTTGATACGTGAGACGCGTGTCGCGTGTTGTGTCGAGGAACTCGAAGACGTAATCGCTGCAAGCTGCGATTCCTAATCTCTCCAATCGAACTTACGTGCGGAGGATGACAAGCGCTTGTGAAGCGAAAAAGTGAGTGTTTTATCACGAACGGAAGATACTTAAATGGTCCTCAAGTTTCTATCTCACGGATAAGGGACACAAGCGGAGGCCGACGAAAATGAAGTGAGTAAATTAAATACGACGGCGAATTATGTACAAAGGGTAATGAAGATCTTCATTTATGGATCCTTTAATGAATTTGATTTTATCTTATCGGTGATTCGACTGAATTCTGCTTTTTACGTGAAATTTCGAACTTAAATGCGTGTGAAAAATGTGGAAGTTTCATTAATATTAGAATTACCAACGTATCTTATTCATTAAAAGGGAATGGATAAATTATTATGAAAACAAAGAAAGTGATGGAAAATCAAATATTTCGTCAATATAAAGGACAGAAAAGTCAGAGAATTTCAGATATATTTTACACGACAGGTATATTTTACACGAGAAATATTATAATACTGATCTAAAAAAAAATAAAATAAAATAAAAATAATGACTACTCGATGGGCGTAGCCGAGATTTTATTTAGATACAAATTAGAGACTTTTTTAGATTATTGACTTTTTTTAGTTCAGAAGGAGGAGGATAATCGAGTAGTAGAGTGGATTATTGGATTTGTTTTGTTTTACATTATTATTTTTAATTAATTACTAGCAAGTAAAAATCGTAAAATCACTTAATTTATTAATTTAATTTATTAATCTACTTAATTTTTTTCTTAAAATTGCAAACTGATTTTTCAATTTGGAAAAACTTGAGCTTTCTCTCAGAAAAAATATTTCCATAACTTTCAATTCTTTTTTATTTTCTGACATTAATTATGTTAAAACGAGATTTGCTTAAAATAGTGAATGTAGGGTTCTCAAAATAAAAATTTTCAAACAAATGAAGCTTTAGTTATTGTTCCCGAAATGTAATTCCCGAAAGACTTGATTATTTTCAATAACTCTAACTAAACTAACTAAACTAAGAAAATTATTGATATTTTGATGATTTTTATGAGAAGAAACTGACTTTACTAGATTGATTAATCGAAGAATGCGAGAGAGTAAGTTTCACAATATACGCCGCGAAACATTGAGAAGAATCGTCTCAATTTAGATAAGCAAATTTGATGAAGCGAACACATCATCTTTGTTTCTATTAAAAGTTTTATAGCAAATTAGTGCATCCTCCCGATGCTCTCGAAACGATGCGAAATTGGTACCGACAAACCTTGCTTAACTGTGTAGTGTGAGACAAATAACGGAATAGACATTGTTCTGCATGGCGTAACACATGTAGACTTTATCTAGCGTTCCCACCGAGGAAAAACTATTTCTGTAAATTCTGATGAGAGGAGATCCTATCGATTTACGACGGTCTATTTTTATTACTTGATTAGAACGTTTTTCCATTCCATAGAATTAATATAACATTTATTTCGTTTTACTACACTATCTCAATTTTATAAAACAAATAATAATTATTTGTTCAATAAGAGGATGAAAAATATATAAAAATATTTACGCACTTGTTTTGTTTTGTTTTTTTTCTATCAAACTTGAATATATATTCATAAAATGAATGAAAAATACAATACAAAGTTAATCTATAAAAAAAAAATATATCGTTAGGAAAAAAAAATTAAAAAAGAGAGATAAATTTTTATTCAGCACGGTAGCTTCCGACACATAATAGGCAACAAACGAATTATAATCTGATCCATGAGGGTCTTCCTGTGTCTTGAATCCTTAGGCATGCATTCACTTGAACGTGACTGAAAAAATGCTGGTTAGAAAGTGCAGGGTGACTCATACCTGTATGCATGTCGCGCGGCATTACAGGGTGTCCCATCTGTTTGATTGCAGTTTCTTTTGTGGAACATCATTTCGAGAATGATACCTTTTTCAAAGGAAATTTAGAAATCATCTTTTGTCTTTTGCAATTTTTGAAATATTTTAAGATACACGGATAAATCTCAAACTGTAAATTCCTCAAATTATATTCAGAGGTGTCATAATCAATTGCTAATGGCATTAGCAATGGATTACGACATGGCGATAACCCGCAAACCTTTGACACCTCTGAAGAAAACATCTGTGAAATCCTCAAAATTATTAGTCTCAAATTATGTATATAAATTCTTCTTTTATCGATTTTTACTGAACTTTCTGTTCCGTTAATTGTAAGAAAAAAGGTTTTATTGACATATATGATTAATTAATCAATAAATATTCTTCTCAATATTTTTTAGGGCTGATTGTTCCACTTTTTGGATAAATTTTACCTGTTGGGTAAGTAGCAAGATTATCCAGTTGTATACTTAACAAGTAAAATTTACAAAAGTGGAACAATCGGTCCTTAATCCTAAATGACATTTTTTTCTTAATCTATTATTATAAATAATAATAATCTATTATTTATTTAGATTATTTATTTACATTAACTTGAGTTGATGAAAAAATTAGAAAAAAATTACAACTCCACAATGGATGTTTGAAGTCTCAATGTTAAGGGATTATAAAGGTGTTTACGTGCCGTTGCCGAAATTCCGGGTTTTAAAAACACCCTCGGAGAATAGAATCGGGAATACGTGAAATATGTCAATAAGCTGTCGAGACTGCAACTCGTCACGGATGTCTTTTTTTCGTGATTTGCATGCAGCACGTGTTTACACGTTCGTTGTGTTTCCACAGAATGGCTCCCGCAGGGACACCTTCTTTAAATGGAGGTTTGCCACCGCCTGTAGGGCCCACACTGACCGGCACGTCGTTTGCCAATTATAAAAGAACCTGGTGGAGGAGAGTAGCTCCCTGCTTGGCTTTTCTTGCCGCCTTTTCCACTGCCATGGTTTTGCTTCTTGTCTGGAGCGAGGCTGCGGCTTTGAGGTAAAAATTGCCACTTTTTATTTTTTTATGTTAAATACAAATTTTTTTTAGATAAAGGAAAATGGATTTTTTAAAAAATTATTTTGATATTTTAAATCTTTTTAAACTTTTGACTAAGCTCATTCCATTTTCTAATATTTAAAAAAATGATGCTGATTCTTGTGATTATAAATTCAACAATATAAGAGATGTGGATCCATTAAGTTTTTATAAAATATTTGACACCATTATGCAGTCTCTCATTACTCAGTATTTTTAATTACTCCGAATCCTTCATTTATCTCGTACGTAAAATTCCACCGTCACAAAGCCTGCAGGCGACTCGCGATTCACTATAGAGAAGCGATCGGATTTCGGCAAGCTCGTGTGGAAATTTATACTCTTCGCTTCTTTTTTACTGTGCCATGAGAGGATTACACGATCGAGCTCCAGATTATGCAAGATTGAACACCACTGGTGTAGTTTAAAGTGGATGTTCCGTTACAGGAGACAGGCGTTCGACGCGAACATGACCAGAGATTACGTGCTGGACAGCGTTTCGATGGACAATCCGCAATTGGTGGCGTACATACGGCAAGTGCATCTGAAACCGACTACCCATCAGGATTCGTTGAACGCCAATCAGACGTCAGAGGAGAAGTACGTGGCCTCCTTGTCACAGGGAAAACGTGAGGGTATCTACGCAGAATACATCAGCAGGGTGAGGAATCTTTCGTTTTAACCCTCGGGAGTGTGATTAATGTCTCACGTGTCACTGTTGCGCACATTGAGAGTCTCATCCTTCTAATGTGACGGCGTAATATCTTTGTTCGTGAAACTTATGGTTTACAGACGGTGAAAAATGGATGGTACGAGGGATGTTCTAAAATCCTTAATTACTCGATCAATTTCTTTCATTAATTAAAAAGTCGGAGCATCAACAATTTTCCAAATATAAATGGCTGAAGATGAGGTTTCAGTGAAGCAATTTTTCGTAATTAAATAACCGCGTTTTGCAATTCAAGTAATTTTTAGAAATTTCAATTTTAGTTTTAATATTACTGAGATATAAGTAATTATAAGTAATTATTGAAGAGATACAATAAATGATGATTTTTCATGAAATTTTTTTTAGAAAAATATGAACTCTTTTTTTCTTCTCTTTCTCTTCTCTCGCTCTTTAAATTAAAATTGAAATTAAAACGAGCAATTTTGGTACATCCTATAAAGACATTGCTTAAAATTACAATTTTCCAAATTATTTCATATGTTGATTTATGCTTTTATGAATTTGTGTGTGTGTGTGTGTGTGTGTGTGTGTGTGTGTGTGTGTGTGTGTGTGTGTAAAATACGATACATAATATGAAAGCATATCACGAGCATATTTTTCAAAAAATAAAATTCTCTTGGAGTGAAAATTTACGTTCTCTTACATACCGCCCTCTTTCTTGCATCTTATCAAGTTTTGGTTAAATTAGAGTATACCGGTGCTTCAGCAGTCTTGAAAGTTCGCTTTAGATACCGCATGGCTGCGCTAACAATTCTTTATCACCCGTGATAGTGCACCGTAACATTAGCGAAACACGCAAAACTAGTGAATCGTCAGCACGCAACCAGTTAAAAATAGATGAACGAGATAGATGAGCTGGATATCTCTCCACGCTCTTTCTAATTCATCTTATTCATTGGGAATTAGACCGACGAATTAGGTCAATTTACCTCCTTATCACGACTCAAGCTCGCAAATCCGTCACTGTCGGATGTCATCATTTTTTTTCAGATAGGTGCGATTTCTAGCACCGCTTGGCTGGAGTCTAATCTGAATTGGCGTGGTGTCTTGATACTTACCGAGCCCAAGAGCTTCTTCGAAGCTCAACGAAGTACCAGACACCCGCAATCGAGGGTCCTCCATGCCTGTCTCAGCACGGACACAGATACCAAAGAGGTGAGAAAACGATGAAAGGTTATCACGAAGGAGGGTGATGATAAATCGAACGCAATAAGAATACATGTCTTACGCGCACGAATGGTATATTGCAGATAAAGTACCATCAGGAATCGGAGGTCCAGGTCACTAAGCTAGGCGACGGTCCTAACAGCCTCGTGTCATCGGACGACGGTTTTCCTACCACTAGACTCAAGTGCTTTCCTCTCTACAGCGTGCTGTTAGCGTACAATGCCACGATCTTGGATTACTTAAGTCTTGACAGTCCTGACGCTCCCGATGGTCAGGTAAACAACATAAATTTAATAATCTAGAGTCCTCGAAATATATAACTTTTATGATGTTTTTTCAATTGAAAATTTTTACATTTATTTCCTTGCGTCTAGAAAAGTACATATATAAAAGGATATTTATTTATTTTATCACGCATATTTGTTATATGTTTTCTTTATTAAAAAAATAGATGCAGTTTTACAACGATATCGAGATTTAGATTTAGAAATATTCAGAAATATTGTATTTTTTTTATTGTAACATAATAATTTCGCGATTGAAAAGCATGTACAGGTTTTAGAATTGTGATCGATCGGAGAGTTATAAAAATACAAAGCCAGTAACAAGCGTTGTAAAAGCTTGTCGTAAGGGCAGTTGAAAATTATCGCAGGTACTCGACACCATCCCGTGGGACATCATAAAAATATCGATACTGTCGATACGATGGAGTCCTCATCACAGCGAGGCGGAGACAAAGAGCTTCATCGACAAGATGACCAGCCGGAGGTACAAGCTCGTACATACGACAGACACTGGAAAGTCGATTTTCTTGTACGACACTCTCCTTAAAATTTGACTCAGGTTATAGACTGGTCTGGATATATAAAATATAGGATATATATAAAATAATTTGAGCGACTTGAGATAACCCACCTTACCTCTGATCCGTTCTTATTTATATATTTTATTTCACTGCCTAATTAAATATTTCTTTCATTCGAAGCGCGATATCACATAGAGGGATAACTCGTTGCGGTATCAAGAATCCCAGACGTAATCAACCGTGAAATTCGTTCTGCGCTGAATTCCCCATTTGTTAGTCTCTTTCCCTGTCGCGGACATCATTAAGAATAAAACACGTCGCTTTCACAATTCAAATAGAACAATGTTTATCGATAACGAGTTCACTGATAACAATCGTCGATCGAATCTCGAGAGACTAATGAATTCAAGAACTTGCTGTCGAAAGTACTACGATCGTATTTTGAGAGTTTCAACTGTTTAAAGATGAGAGTCAAAACTAAGTAGTTGAAGATTTAGGACTTTGATTTTCAGACTACTCGAGAATTCCGAGTTCTAAATTGAAGTTAAGAACATTGGAATCAAATTTCGAACAGTCACAACTTCAAGTGATTTGAACTTGAAATTTGAGTTTCAAAAGATCTTCGATCGATCATGTAATTTTTTTTTCTAGAGCGGAAACGTGAAAAGTGAATATTTTTATGTATGTATAAAAATAAAAAATTTCACTTTTTATTTTTCCGTTCTAGAGAAAAAGTTACATGATTGACTCCCTGACTTCAATCATGCTCCAAATCACGTAAGATCTGAAAATATCCTCGAGTTTGTTACATATATGGTTTCTTTACGAGCTATCCTTATTTCTGAAGGACCAAATTATAATTATGAATCCGAAGACTTGAATTCCGCTGAACTCAAAGAATCGGTGATTCATATCAATCCTCGATATACATATGTATGAAAGATTAATAAGGGGTGTAAAGATTGCTCTTTTCAACCGCGGGCAAAATGGTATTCTAAACGCGCGCGTATATTTTGCGGTCTTTTACGGCGGAAGCACAACATGAGCCACGTGCGAGTCGTTAAACTTGCTCTGGATATATGTGATTCTCCATGTCTTATATCTGTGTTTTATTGCGAGACGTGCCACGATTTCTCTCTCTTGTTTTCAGTTTTCGTGTCGATGACCAGCCAGATAGAGTGTTCTTTTAATTTTTTCCTATTCGTGCAAACGACACATATAATAAAGACATCTCGCAGAAACGCAGAACCGTTTGTTAGATATTCCTGTGACATCTCACTTTTTTCGCGACGATTTCAATTTCATCGTGCGACGTTGCATAATACTCTGTTTATTTCGTAGATACACGAATGATCAACGAATAATTCACACCGATATGATTATTAGAAATAATTATATTTTCACAATAAAAACAAAAATGTCCAGATCAAAAAGTAGTCGAGATTCAGAAATATGACAGTATGTCAATTCCCGTTTGACTCCATACCGCAAACTGATATTCGTTGAAGAAAAATACTAAATTTTAATAAATATTTGTCTGAATGATTCTGAGATTTCTGAGTAAATATGTATTAAATAAATATAAACATATATTTATTTGATTCAAAAACCATTTCAATTATCGTTTAAATTTAACTAGCGAATTTTTATTTAGTAAATATTTACTGTAAGCAAATGTCTGCTTAGTATTATGAAAAAATATGTATTAAGATTTGGTAAATTTTTTTCAATGTGTACAATTTATATATTTCGTAGAACGATATACGATGGTGATATATAATGTTGGACAATATAGACTGCATAATTTCTTATCATTTCGCCGTTTATCGTTTCTTTCCATTGCTATTATACCAATAGAAAATAATGTGATGTAATTTAATATAGAAAATATTTGTTAAATAGATTGTCATACTGACATTATTTTCGCGCGATGAATATTCGAAGTTAATTTATGCCTCCTGTCGCGGATATTGAATTTGCTCAGGTACTGTGTGACGTAAAATTAATTTTACGTTAGAAGAAAGGAAAAATAGGTGGCTGAAATCGTAGCGGAAAGCGAAAAACGAATTCCTCCATACTTGAGCTAAAAAACGTTTCGTTTAATCTTGTCTGCGTAATAATAACTCATTTCCTCTCTTCCGTCCTCTTCGCAATCGTTGCAATACAGGAATCGCGTCGGCCGTTTAAAGCTCCGAAGTCTCATGGATCTAGAGATTATAAAGGAGGAATTTTTGTTGAGGGACGATTCTGAGATTCGGGATTGATACGATAATTTAGAGGAGAACCCCCGATCGTTTAATGATCCGAGAAAATCCACTCAAAAATCCGACTTCGATAAATCTCGCTTGGAGAGCTCAGATTGAGATTTTCAAGCATCCGCGACGTTTAATCTTTCTTCCGGGAAAAGACACAAAAAAAAATTACGAGAAGAAACTTCGCCTCCCGTACGATTTTACGGTAGCACGGTTTTTTAAAAAATTAGGTACAAGCTAGTAACTGTAACTGAGTGTTTTACGCAGGATCCAACGATTTTACTTTTTAAGGGAATGCGGAAATCATCATCCCGCACACGCGCCGATGTGCATTATCACATGTGATAAACGAGCAAGCTAATCCCAGGTATTTTCCAGGCTTCCGCATTCGTGCCGCGCAAATACTAATAATTTGTAACTAGAAGGAATGACCGTCCGAATCTCATCATGTATATTTGCATTACAAACACTACTCCTTCTTGCGTGTTACCCATATTGAGTGGATCAAATTGCAGTAGATGGAACGATAATCCACAATGTTTGATCCACGCATTGATCGCGGAACTCGAAACGACGACACATCCGCTATTTAGTGCTACACATGCGACGTAGAATGGAGACGTAATACCTAATGGACTTTTTACAATAAGCCATTATCTAAGCTTTAAGTTTTAAGACGCGAGAAATTGATCAATCATAGTCGATTATTCTTCGTACATTTGACTGTGATTGATTAATTTTTTCTGGCTTAAGCTTAGGCTAATAACTTATAGAAAGCTCGTAAAACATAGGCCTTATTAGCGCGTAAGGTGATATGATTTCTTAAAACATTGTAGTGATAAGCAACAACAACCTGCGTTAGTGGTTCTCGCGTTTAAATTAATAAATTATATCTTCGTTTGCGGTACAAAGATGTCTGTAGGTCTGTTTTCTGTGGCTGAATTCGTGTACGCTTTTGAAACTTAAACAGAGATAGGCACATATGGTATTAAAACAAAAACAAGAAAGAGAGTTCGAGTGCAGGAATAAAAAACAGACCTTGTATATCAATTCTAGATGTATCTATTAGATTCTCCTTTTTCTTCTATTAAAATCATTACTTATATAAATCATCTCTAATATTTTGAATGAGAAATTAGCTTATCTTTTTATTAATAATTATAGATTATCAGTAAAAAAAAAATCTGATGAATTTATTTTTGAGTGAGAATATTCTTCAAGAAGAAAATTATTTTGTCTTCTAAATATTAAATTTCAGCCTCGAAAATTTCTCTTCAACTTTTGAGAAATTTTCATCTACCAAAAATCACGAATTTTCATTTTACTCGATATCCGAAGATATAACGTAAACTCGAATTATCGTGTAAAACGCGCAAAAAGATAAGAATACATAATCTAAATTAAGATATCGCCTTTGCATTATTTACATTTTAGTTACGTAATAATTCTGAATAGCGCGAGAACCACTTGTATTCGTGAGGCACGTTTAACTCTAAAATGATAATCTGTAATTATGATAATCTAAATAACAGTACAACTGTTCATTCTCTTAGCGAATTTAAATTGCACATTGGATTATCAGCAACGAGAATGAGATGTCTTTAACATTAAAACGTAACCACGAAAGCAGGATTTCTGACTTAAAATCCCATTAACGCGTTATTGCGATTATATGATTCATTAGGAATGTTCAGCACGACAGATACTTAATAATGCGATTTTCTTTGCATCGATCATAGCTTCGTTGCGACGATCATCCTATTATTTTCATTGTTAATCGCGCGAACGCACAGCATTTGAATTTTCACAAAGTGCATTATTCGCGAAGCAGACAGTTTGTCTTTTTTTGATCATCAAGAAATTCGGTTTCAAAATTTTATGATAAAAGATTTGGAGAAATCATGAATATCACGGGTTTATAAAAATCCAATGACTCAAGAGAATTCAAGATTTTAATCCAAAAGAAAATATTTTGGGATGAACAGTGAATTTATACATCTGGAATTGAAATTATAGTTTTGAACGTAGAATCTGACTTTCTTTGCTATTTATTTTCTTGTACAGATGGAACTTTATTATGTATAAAAAAAGTCACACATTAGCGTATATAATATGTATTTAGTTTTAATAATATGATTAATTACTTTAACGAAATAAGTATTAAAATAATAGATGTTCCTTCTATATAAATAAGTAACAATATATAATATAATATATAATATAATATGGTTCAAGACATAATTTAATTCTGGAAACGAAAATTTCACTATACTAAACAACTATGTGAGTATTTATTTCGCAATTTAAACATACAATCTCGTTTCATATTTCGCGAATAATTTTGGATTATAAGTACGTTATTATTCAATTGTTACCCTCTCGCGAATATGCACTTAACATTAGCGTGCAGTTATTCAGCTACGCGATTTCAGTTTGTAAATCCTTCATTTATTCGTAAGAATAATCCGCTTTCCTTGCCGCTTCACCGAAAACCATTCCATAACTATTAATTCATATATTTCCCTTTTCCTCTCGCCAATGCCTGTACGCAGTAGCGACTTCATTGTATTACCTATGCGTTTTTTCGAGAGATTTTTTCTACTTTTGTTTATATCTTTTTTTACAGCGTATTGTAACTCGTAAATTTGACGTGAATAAAGCTGCTCAGGTTTCTATCTTGCGAAGGGCAGCCAATCCCTTTCGAAAGCGCAATAAATTTGGATATTATATTTTGATGTAAGAGATTACTTATTGACCTTCATCTCTTGGAAGCTTTCCCGTGGAAACTGTCTATTTATTATTGTTCATCCTATTTTTCCCATATCTTTTAAGGCTCCTGAATCCTCATCTCAGCCATATTGAGTCGTGACGTCATAAGCGAAAAATATGTCATAAGTGATACGTTGATTTTTCTTGCATGCCATTTATAAATAAAGACAAAATATTGGATAAAACGAAATAAAATCGATGTAAAATACTTGTAAAAATCGAGACTATCATCATCATTTTCCCTTGATAGTCAATAGTCGTAAGAGGCACGTAAGGTGCTTTATAAACGTTCTTTATAAAAGGTTTATTTGTTATGGAGACTTTATTACATTTATTAAAGAAAGAAGATTTAAATCGTTAAATATATAAATTCCGAAGTATATCCATTCCTCGAATCCCTTAAAAAATCGAGATAACATATATATATATATATATATATATATATATATAGAATTGTTTCAATATCTATAATGCTTGTGCATTGATTTTTCATCATTTCCGTGAAAATAATAGATAAAACACAATCGCTCTTCAATATCCTTTGATCCATGATTAAATACATAACTTACTAGCGTGATTTTATTGGAATTCCTATTGAGTATGTCTTATCTAACTTACTATCAAACATCATGTTTAAAATTGAAAATCCATAGCGATTAGTTATTTTCTAAAATGAATATTTGTCACAAAAAGATGTATTTATTGCAATTTTAAATTAAAAAGAATTTTGTATTAAGATCAAAATCTACTGATTTCTCTACATCGTGTGTTTTTGATATATAGGATAAAATTACATTAAAGTACGATAACGTGCTATTATTTAAATCCCGAAACGTTGTCGCTTGCGAGAAGTATGAAAGTGATGAATTACGTCTCATTCATTAGGTATTTCCATAATTAAATATAGCATGTAATTTATCAGAGAAACGCATGTCATGGAAAATTTATCGACAATACGATGCCGCATTTAATTCTGCTACGAATGACAGCGCAGCTACCGTTTATATGTTCTGTGACCGGTTTAATTTACGTTTATTAAATGACAAGTGGGCGTTTGTTTGACAAAAGTTATTGGCACAGATAATAATAATCGTATACATTAATACGATAAATTATTTAGTTAAATTGATCTCATTATGACTGTTAAATTATTGCAAGATTTGCGATCACGTCAAAATTATGTTAAACGCAATAAAACGAATTTTGATGATGATTTTATTTGACAAGAAAGTTTTCTTCAATCTTTCTCGAGATTTAATAAAATTCTAAGAATGTTCTTTTATAAAAAAAAAAGTGATATTTTTATTTTGCGTTGTAACTAGACATCGGATTTTTATGCATATATTTTTTGCAGACATGCACAAAATATGCAAATTTGCACAAATATACAAATATGCACAATGTACAAATATGCACAAATAAATATGTATTTTTAGAATACTTTTTTAATAAGACAAATTTTTATTTTGATGTTACTTTCCAATCTATTTTCTAAAAAAAATATGAAATTGTATAAGAATTCGATGTCTAGTTATGACACTAATACGGATTAAAAATTTCTACATTGAAGCGGAGATTGTAACTGGGAAAAAGCGTAAAAGAGAAAAATGATGAAAATGTCTTGACAGTGGTCTCCGTGAGGTGAAACGCGCGAAATGGTGCAAGAAAGTTCAACGAGTTACACAATGCGGTGTTCCTCAGATGCATCCGTTTGCTCTTCTCACGAGGAGAATGCAATAATCTACGTCAGCGAGCTGTTTCCGGTGGAAAACTCGAAGGAGAACATATCGGACGTGGAAAGGAAGAGATGGAGAACGCGTGTTAAACGAGAAATCGACTCGACGGTGGGGAAAATTGAGAATTGTGCTCTGTAAGTGATTGAAATCGGATTGAAGTGTCTGTCATATGACTAGAAGCAAGACTCGCCAGTTAAAGGTAAGTGGCCGCGTTTGATGGGGCTTTTATTCTTCTCTTGTAAATCCGGGGGGTATTTTCGCGTCGGAATGTTCCGTTGAGGAAAATCGGACAATTCGGACAATATTGCACGTTCGGTTCGCCACGATTACATTAGACACATTTGCTTATTTTATTAAATATTCCGTAAAGTCAACTCAGGTACGTACGTAATGAATTTTGCCACATTGTCGTAAAAATAATTATCATTCGTAGTTTGTTTATACGTATCCTTCTATTTTTTTATGTAATTCAAAAGTACGCACGTTCTCTCACGTAATTTTCGATTCGCGTTGCGCAAATTAATCCATCGTTATTCCTACAAATTATTTTAACGAGTACAATTCGCGCTCAAAAATACTGTCTACGTTATTAAAATTGTTATAAGTATAAAATATTTTCATAGTACAAAATAATTTAATAATATGAACAATAATTTAAAATATTTTTGAGACAAACATTAAAGTAGAGGAAAAGATTATTTTTAAAAAACTCTCTTTATATTTTGTTTCTCTATCTCTCTTTCTATTTAAATTTTGCTATATTAATATCAGAAAAATATAGTTTTATAAGCATAAAGAAAAATTATTATTATATTTTTCTTATTATAAAAATTGTGTTTTTCTTCGATAAACATTCTTGAATATGCCGCAATTCAGTTTCTGTTACTCTTGTTGGGATATTATAAAAACGGAGATATTTACTGACAATTTTTAATCTATTTCTTTTAAAAACAAAAATTCTAAAAAGCGTGTATCATGAAATCGAAACGAAGTACTGATTTTATACAAAAATGCGTCGCTTAATTTCAGATTTTCAATACTCTGCGTATACTCCCATTCATTTCAGTGATTATCGTGATTTTTAAATCATTTTGCTGTTTCGATCGAATCAGATAAGCGAAAGATTAGTGATAATGGTGACTAGATAGTGATGGTAGTGATATATGATGGCTTCGATGTCGCATCGTCCATTTGGTACGTACCGTGCGTTTACATCACGCCGTAATTTGCATCTTTCATTTATCTCTTGTGTTATTCGCGGTGAAAAATCAGAAGAGACGAGTCAATTAAGAGACGCGTTAATTAAAGAGCGACGAGACTGAGTCACATTGGATACAAAATTGTACTTTTTCGATCCTCTTTGAAGAAGCAACCTAACTCGCCGGAGAGAATGGAGGGCACGGGGATGATTACCGAAGTTCCTGTACGTCAGGAAGGCAGGAAGCTGTGGCAGTATCTTGCAACCATTTCCGGTATTTAAGGGTGTTTATTAGCGCTCGTGGTACATTACTTCTTTCGCAATATTTTATGAGTTTATACAATCGGCAAATCGAAGGAAGCGTTGGATTCTCATTGAGAGTGATGAAGTGGAGATTGTGAGAAATCTTGTTCTGATAATTACTTCTATTTATGACCGATATATGTATTATGTAATTGCATTCTTGAAATGCAATGCGTATACGTGTCTGAATTTATAACGCAGATCAGTAATTCAATAAATAGTCAGCTATATCGAGAGTGTATTTAAATACAATTTATAGTGTTTACTCGTGAGCTACTGTGATGCTCGAAAAGAGTACAGAATGTTATTTCAAGTTGTGTGTAAATATTGCAAATGCGCAACTGACTTGGAAATATCATTAATAATATTTAGCATTCATCCCTGCAGTTAGGCAATTTATTTTTTAATCTATATGTTTTAATCAATCAATATTGAAATATTTTATATTATTTAATATAATAAAATATTTAATATCATTTAATATTTGATATTAGTATTTGATATACATATTTATATGTTACTTGTAATGCGTATTTTATAATTTTACAGTTGATCATCAGTGATTAGTTTAAAAAGTATTAATTTTTAAATAAGGATGAGTAAAAATTATCTTGAAGTGATTACCAGAAATATAGATCACAGTACTTGTCTTTCTTGAACATTAAAAGCAGATAATAAATAAAAATAATGCCATGTTAATTCTGCATTAAAAAAATAAAACGATTTTTTACTTTATTTCCTTTGTTTTTAAGCTTGTTTTCAGAAGTAAGCAAAAATTTAATTAAGAATTGTGATTTATTATTTATATCACAAAATGATTGTTCAATTAGGTAATATTAATTTATTATGGTACATTTATCAAGCTGATAATCGTACCAATGTCGTTATCATACATTATCAATTGACCACGAGAGAAACTTCAATAATCATGTGTAAGCATACTTAAATATTTAAATACTTAAATATTTAAATACTTAAATATTTAATTCTAATTGACGAAAAGCATTTTCTTCTTAGAGGCTTTATACATATCTCCTGAAGATTAAATTATTATAGATAATATATTGATTTCTTGTATCGCTTCTTTTTGTTGTTTATTCATGTATTGCAATTAGAGATAAAATGATCATTAGATCACAATTTAATTAAATTGCTAAGATGTAATCAGATATATATCTCAATATAGATTAACACAACTCGCTAAAGTTTCATCCGCAGTAAAGTTTTATCCGCAAAATTTGTTAAGAAATTATATCCTCCTCAATAAAAGTACTCAAACTCTACGATCGAGAAAGACGATAATGATATTAATGATGAAGTCTACTTTCATATTTTTGTTCTTTTAACGAAGTTATCTTCTAACAATGTTTACGGTTTTTATTTATAATTAATTTTACTTATTTTTTATCTGATAAATAATTAAATTTGTGATAATTACTTTTTATCTGATAGATAATTAAATTTGTACCTTATCTGGTAAATAATTAGGTAAATTGGTATTCCAAACAGCTGAAGCCACATAAAAACCATGTAATCTATGTATGTACTCCAAAGAATTATCCAGGGTGTTTCTTAAATAGCGGAGACTAATCATGTTTTGTTATTCCTGGTTAAATCGAAAAGTGCTCTATCATTTTGCAATTTTCGCAATAATTGATGAAACATTAATTTCTAAAGATTACCGAGTAAGCGATTGCCGAATCACGTAATGCTAATTCCTGATAAAAAAAATTGAATAAAATCCTCTCCATTTTGCAATACTTAATGATTGGGTAACCGAATACATGCTCGGCAATATTTAGAAATTAATATTTCGTCAATCATTGCAAAAATTGTAAAGAATTTTTCGACTCAATTTTTAATTAGAAATAACGCTATATGATTAGTATCCATTATTTAAGAAACATCCGTATACAACATCCTGTCATTAAAAATCTTTTATAAATAAGGTGCTATTAATTAAAACATTTTAAAATGACATTAATTAGTGCAATTTCACTGAATCAAAGTAAAATCTATAGTTTGATTTTGGATTAAGTTTTAACGAATTGAACAAAGTGGATTTAACTGAACACTAATAAGTTCGTTACGCTATTCAGTCAATCGGATTGAGCTTATTATATTAATTAAACTCCATATAGATACATCGCTAAAAGGAAGAGGATATAGATACATCGCTAAAAGGAAGAGGACATTACGTTTGCAGATTGTCTCCCAAGTTTCTTAATTTTCCTGCAAAATTAGATATAACGAGGTCGCAGTTCCACTGACCGCAATAGTCAGACCGTCCGTTATTATGAAATCTCGCTGAATAAGCTTATATTATATTTTTGCTTATATAAAGTCCTGGCCGTGATATTTTATTGAAACAGCGTTGTGCTCTGAGAAACGGAGATGTCCGCCACGCCAGTAAAATCCGACGATATTTGTAAACGCTTGAGACTGACGGCCGGTGACATCTCAAAGAACAGTAGATTCCTTGTCCCGCGCAATTTCGCGAATCGATTCAATTCATTCCCGATGTTATAATGCACTACTGTCTATTTTCGACGATAGTTGTTATCGTCTGGAGTATATTCGGTACCGGATAAAATAATTCTGTCCGCCTTATCGGGCGCATTACAGTCATTTCTGAGTGCCAACAGCGGATTAGTACGAAAAGGATTTAGCTTACAATTATCGCATTAATATTTACACATATACCATTCGGTGCCGGTGATATGATAGATCGTCGTAAGAAAGAAACTATTCACTGAGAGAATGCAGCAGCAAGTTGTTTTGATAAATTCATGGAATTTGACATGTTTTTTATCGAAAAAGATAAATTATTTCTGACAAATGATAATTTATATTTCGTCAAATGAGTATAATGATGTAATGAGATTGTAGAGTGATTGATAATAATGGAGCTAAATGCTTGGATCAAAATGCGACAAAAAACGCATGCGGTAAATTTTCCAAAAAATAAGACAAATGTAATATCAGTTCTTAAACTCGTAATATTAAGTATTCAGTTTTTAATATTCAATGTAAAATATTCAATTTTTAATATTAAAATAAGTACAAGTTTCTTTGCTTGAAAAAGTTAATTCACAAACATTTCGTAATCCAATGTGAGTCTAATAAAATCGATTAAAAAAATAATCAAACGTAATCATTCACGATCATTCTATTAACGTTTTTTCAAACTTAATTAGTTAGAAAATTTAATTTTAAATGTTAAGTAAAATATCTGCTCAGTAAAGCTCTTTAAGTTTTCTTAAATGCTCTTCAGCTTGTTTGATGGCGCTCGCCGTTGGCACCGCTTTAGCTTGGACATCTCCCGTTCTACCCCAGCTATACAAGGAGAGCTCCTGGCTAGTTATCACCAAAGAACAGGGTTCCTGGGTGAGCTCGTTGCTGGCTTTGGGCGCGATATTGGGCGCTGTTCCATCTGGACCGATGGCCGACAAACTCGGCCGGAAGAAAACACTTCTTTTGCTGGCTGCTCCGTTTCTCCTGTCCTGGGTGATCATTATATTCGCCTACAAATTATGGCTGATCTACCTAGCTAGATTCATAATTGGTGCCGCTGTAGGAGCAGCCTGCGTCGTTGTACCAACTTACATCTCCGAAATTGCGGAGACTTCAACTCGGGGCTCTCTTGGTGCCATGTTTCAATTGTTTATCACAGTTGGGATCTTGCTGGCTTTTATATTCGGTACCGTAATGAGCTACACGACGTTCGCTATAGTCTGCGCCCTCATAGAAGTCGGTTTCTTGGGCTCTTTTATATTTATGCCGGAATCGCCTATTTGGCTAGTGGTAGGTCCAATCGACAATTTTTCTCGATTTGCGTTTTTTTATTTTTGCGAATTTTTGCTTCGTGAATCCAGAATGTTAATATCACATTATTTTCTTAATTAGTTGTTAAGAAGAAGATAACCTGATTTTAGCTTTCATCGTATTTGGATGAACGGTATTGCAAAATTCCCTATTATCTTTCCATGTATATCGATTATTTTTAATTATATTATAAATTAAAATAATTTTACAACAGTTAACAACCGTTTAATTGAAAGAAATATTTAAACTATGATATTCGAATTTATTAACGAAGAAAAATTTGGATATATCTTGAATTTTTATAGAATCAAGGACAGAAACCGGAAGCCACGATAGCGATGTCAGTCCTCCGAGGTGATTCTTATGATCCATCGGAGGAACTCGCGGAAGCACAACGAGAAGCCGAACAAGCAGCATTGAGAAAGTCGACCGTATTCGATCTCGTACGAACCCCGGCAGCCAGGAAAGCTTTGCTTGCTTCGTTGGGCGGCATGTTCTTTCAGCAATTGTCCGGCATAAATGCGGTGATCTTCTATACTGTTACTATATTCCAGGCATCCGGAAGCTCAATGTCACCGGATGTCGCTTCTATAATCGTGGCGATTGTTCAGGTACGATATATAGCTTACATAAAAGCTTGTATACTTTCATAGAATTTTTATAGAATATTTTCATACAATTCCATAGAAAACGAATTGTATAACGTTTCTATATATAACAATATTTTCTGTTCGGATAAATATGATCTAAAGAAAAGAATTTTCCTAGGAAAATTTTCGGAATTTAATTATCTTACTAAAGTATAATTAAAGTTTTTAAAATATTTGCGAGTTAATTGTGCCGAACATTTTTTTATGTGAATATAATTCGTTGTAGGTTTTTTTCTATTTTTTGCAGTTGAATTTTATAGAAAAGACAGTTTTGCTGAAGTATCTAAAAATTTAATTAGATACAGACCTAAAAATAATTTTATTGGACATCAAATAATTAAAAGGCTCAAATTAATTGTTGAAATGACAAAATTTTGCAACGTTTCATCATGTTTGAGATTTCTAATTATTTTAATGGGCCAATAAAATTATTTTCAGACCTATATCTTGCTAAATTTTTAAATAT